ACGTCAGCTATACAAACGAGAAACGCTCCCCTAATTGCCTGAAAAACACAGCGGTCATTTAGGGGAGGACAGTGTATGCTAAACAGCTTGTGAAATCCTAACTTCGGAGAGAAGCACAAAAGACAGCAGCTTGTTCTTTCACTCCTGACACCCGGAGCAAGTCTCCTGTTAATAAATCCACGAAGGCAACCGCATGTACAGAAAAGAGGTAAACATTCCTCTCAGTTTTGCAAGTGAAAAGATAAGGAACCGACCGAGGCCTTTCACACGATATAGAGTATGTTTCTGCCACACAGATGCTGCCTGGTAGGATAATCAGGAGCATACTGCTGAGGAACTCAAAACACCAGATAACCCAAGCACGCTTCTTAGCCTTTTCCTTTCATGCTTTTCTAAATTTATTTTTTTTTAATTTTGTGTATTGTCTATTGTCCCCCCATGCACACTTTGCATGTTTATTCCTGAAGTTACAAGCAAAGAGTTGCTTTCACCTCCGTGTACCAGAATAGCTCATACTATAAACTCATCTCTGATGGGAACTTTTTCCTGAAGGAAGTGCTCGGAAACGATTTGTCCTTGGTAGATGATTCTTCTATCAAGTGCTTTTCCTAGGAAATCCACGTCATAAGGCTAAACAACTAAATTGGATAACGTGCAGTGCTCTTCCAGTCTCCTGAATTGAATCCATTTGGATATCCAGCACGTTTTAGTGGGTCGCACTCTGCTTTCTTACACGGTCTGTAGCTCCTGAGCAGCAGGGAAGCAGGACTCTGTTTCTCGTAAACTGTTTCATGTTCTCTTTCTTGTTGTGGAAAAGCTCTTAATGAACCCCGAATTGCTTTCCCGCTGAAACAGAGCATGTTGTATAACAGAAATGCCCACCAATAAATGGTAAAACTGTTTTTTATTGCAAAAAAAAACGGCCTCGTTTCAACAATCATCATCAGTTCTGAGAGCTGATATCGCATGGGAATGAGATGCCAACAGCACGCACTAGAAGACTGGTAGTTCCTCTCGAAACCATTATGAAAATGTGTTATCCACTGTTAAGTGCCATTTTCCTCTCCCATTCCCAGAAGGCTGGGCTGAGATTACAGCTTCAAAAGACACTGGAGACAGCTGTCCCCGTCGTGGATGAACCTGGCTCTGCAGAGGCTGCGGGCCCTCTCTGCAGGGACCGCGTGCTTCCCGACACCAGCCCATCCTTAGTGGGAGTGTGCTCTGAAAAAGCTTTGTAAAGCTGTACCTGCTTACACCAAAACCCTCGTTTGTTCAGTATTCCATATCTGTAACACCTGATTTTCTTCTCTACAAACAGTCTGCATACTGACATTTTCCCTAAATAAGACAATTTGCTGTATCCATTTATCTGATGAAAAGGATAGATGAAGGAAATTTACAGACTCTTCACCTTGTTCCTTCCCTGTTTTTCATTTCATGCTGCATGTCAGGTCACCTGGATCTCATGTCAGTTTTTCTGTTTCCTGATTAGATAAATGGTAACTTTAAAACAGGAGAACAATGTATGTGGGGAGGTTATTTAAAATGTGGGGCCATTCCAGGAAATCTTTTTTAAGCTTGTAGAGATTTACAAAGCACTGAAGACAATCACCTATTAAAACAAATAAACAAATATAAAAAATGTAGTGCTGTGAAAGAGCTACTCCATTTTTTTTACTGTTGTCAGGGTTCCCAACACCATCTTTTCCTCTTAAATATTTGTTAACTTTAGACCTTAAAAGATAAATTCCAATATTTATGAAAGGTAGTAAATACTGCCCTATTACATTTTATGTCTGAAAACTCCAGCAAAGGGAAAAAATGTTTTTCAAAACATGAAGTATGAAGTTCTTGAGCTCCTCACAACTGCAAGGAAAAGTTTTTATTTCCTGCTGTTTGCGTTGGAGCTCCAGACCTGCACGCTTTAATTTATAACCAGGAATAGATTATACATTTGAAATTGCATCTCCTTTCAGGAAAGGAACATTATTTTATATTTGAGGTTTTGCAGATTCTCTAGGTCTATGAATATCAAAAATAGAAGCTTTCTCCTTTTGCTGTGGAAGATGAGTACTGATTTAAGTTGAACAGAGATGCTGCAGTACCTTCTGCAGGCCCACGGACATCTACAGTCACTCCCCAGGTACCACCATCCATCACTAGGACAGGAAGCCAAATGAATCGATCCCAATACAAGAGATAATATCTACTGGTGAAGCAGTTGCTCATGCTGGCAGAGATTTATAGGAAGAATTACAGGCAGAAGGGCAATGCCGGCATCACCACGGGTTTGAGACCAAGCCTGAGCTCCGTGGTGGTGCGGCACAGCGATGGTGACAACGTAAGGACAGACAGACAGTGGAGGAGGGTGATGCCTGCAGTATTTGCTTTCTTAATGTTTTCATTTTCTAGCTCCTCTGAAGGGTTTCAAGCAAAGCTTCTGAATATCTATTTCCCAGCTGTCTAACTGAGGGTGCCGATGTAAATGCGGGCATGTCTCTGAAAGATCAGAAAAGCACCTGCCAGCAGAGGTTGTTTGACCTCTGTGCACAACAGCTGACAGAAGAGTGTAGCTCTTCAGAGGGAAAGTTATTATGTCAGGTCCTTGAGCACCAAAAAAATATACCTACGGAAATACGCATTCTTGCACTTGCATGAAATTATGGTGGATTTTTTTCTGAAATTATAATACTTCAAAAAAACTTCCAGCAGAAGCACAGAAGAGTTACTACTATCTACATGTTACTGGCATTTTGTATGGGCAAGCAATGATGGTAAGAGACTAGTCAAGAGTCAAGGAAAAGACAATAGAAGAAAAAATAAAATTACTTCATAAGGTTTAAATATTTTAGAGTGCATGAATGGAAACAAAACAACATGAAGAGTGTTAAATTTAACTCACTGAAAAACGACAATGATTGAGAAAAGCAAATATGTCTGGTATAATCTCACTTTTAGCTGGATCTAAACAAAATCCTAATTTGGAGTCATTCAGTAGTGCATCTCTAATAGCAGTCACGACTTAAACATTACTGTAGGTATGCTTTTATAACTGCATCTTCCATATCACCTGCTGTCATACTGGGCCACTAGTGCAGTAAATCCCCCGCAGACCTTGTGGGCCTCATATTTTACATGACTTGACTTTCAACATCCTGTTTTACTTCTCGATGGTATTGCATGAATTGGTGTCTGCAAACTAGCAACATTAGCTAAAATAATAATCCCATGGCTTTGAACATGAATAAAGTGAAATTTCAGGTTATATAAAGCAGACTAATATATCGTCTCCTCTGGCAATTACATGGAAGGGTCAACATTCTGACTAAGAATAATAATTTTCACAGAGAACTCAGTGCTGCTTCTCTAAATACGCGCTGCCAATAAAGTAATTTTATTTTGAAGAAAATGTCCATGTATATTACAGTGCTCTGACACTGTTTCACCTCTGCCATGAAAGCTCAGTCATTCCAAATGACCCTTTTCAAAACTGTGTATCCAAGATAGATCTATGTAACATAAACCCAGATTGGATTCTAGTAATAATTCTTTGTAAAGAGACAGTAAGGAAGGATATATAAAATGTGTAAATCTACACGTACACATCACCACACGTTTGTGCTTTATCTCAGTGCATTAAGTTTCACTACAAAGCTGCAGTAGTTACAGTTGTAGTGCTAGAACCCTCGGAGGGAGGGGGGGTGTTTGCCTGTGCTCTGAGATTTTGCAGGGAGAGAGGAAAGGGATGGATTGTGCTTTGGTACTGCTGCCGGTCCTGCAGAGCTGTGGCAGTCTCACTGCAAGAAAGCAATTCTATGTCTATGCTGTAGACAATTACCAGGGCAAATCTATTCACCTAACATCACAGAACAAAAAAAAAAAAAAAAAAAAAAAAAAAAAAAAAAAAAAAATCATAACTACTTTGAGCCAATATATGCCAACATATACAGAATAGTTAAATGACAATATGTACTGAAAAATCAAAAGTATTGCAAGGAGAATAAGCTACTTCTTTTTTTTTTTCTCAATTTAAAAAAGAATTTATGTCTGAGATGCACATTTTCAAAATATTAGATTGCTGCTTAAGGAAACTCCAACCTGTTGAATTCAAATCTAAAATAAGTCTGGTTTATGAAAATACACCTTATTAAACAACTTTTATTTTACAATGTATATAGACTTTTAATATTGCAAAGTAACACATTGTGTCATGGATATTTCTGTTATAAAAATGTAAAAGAAATTTGCACACTGCAAATTTGGATATGCATATATATATATATTTGATTCCTCTTAATTTCAGTCTTTTCACACCTCAGAGCAATTCTCTCATCTGTGACACACCAACCTTTATTCTGTAAACAATTCTGCAATATGCAGTATGGCATTGAATGCGGCGTACTGAGTCCAGTGAAAAAATTTGTGTAAAATTTTGCAAAGGGCTATTTGATTTTTTATAACGAATATCTTCTAGTTTATATTTGATTTTTTTCAATGAAAAGATCTCTGCTTTACCAATGTGTATGCTGCATGAGAAAAGCTAAGCCTCAAGGCTCACCTCTCATAATGGAAAAAATTTCAATATTAGGGTTATATAATTTTAAATCTTTGTGGGGTTTTTTATTAGAGTTAACAGATACAGAAAATTGAAATACTCTGGGTTTTTTTTTTTGCAAAGGCTGCAGATATTTCAGTTTTACTGGTGTAATCATCTCAGTAACACATTACAGACAGAAGCAAGCAATTTTCTTTCCCACTGTATTAGCTATGAAATTAAATTGTTGCAATTATACTCCTATTGTTTCAAAACAATGCACCCCTTGCTTTAATATGCATTCTATATGCTAATTTGAGAAATAAACAGAATACATAATTAACACTTCCACCGTGTCACAGTGTGTTTCTGGGTGTCGTTCAGCTGGGGAAGACGAACACGTTGTGAGGGGTGGGGATGTCCCCCAGCTCTGCAAGAGGATGAAGGAAAAGGCTCCAGCTCTTACCTGCAGGCTGTTGAAGATGATGAAGAAGACTAACATCCAGAGGTGCCGGTAAGCCATGTGCAGTCCTCCCCACAGCCAGGTGACGGAAATCAGGGCAAAGAGGTACAACACCAAGGGGATCTCTAAAAAAAAAAAAAAAAAAAAGCCACAAATGCAGCATTTCAGCTGGTGCGCCCTGGGAAAAATATTTTTCAAAGCGTTACCAAAGCAGGACCTTGTTTCGCCATCTCTGGCCAACCGTGGAGTTGGTTCTCCAGTGATGAACAGCCCTTCTCCTGACCCAGCTGGGTGGGGGTCCCAGGGCTTTTGGGACCTTCCCTGGGGCCAGGAGAGCAATAAAAGGTCATGGTTGGTTGGGGGACAGGGAGGTGGGGGGTCAGGGGCGAACAGCCCAGCTCAGCAAACCAGGTGTGGGTGCTCTGCGGGTGGGAAAGATCACACGTGGAGTCAGGAAACGTGCTGACCTTGGGGGAAGCACGAGAGGGCTCTTGGCAAGCTTTGGAAATTTTGAGAGGAAATGGATTTTCAAGAACTGAGAGGAAAGGGAAAAGAACAAAAGCATGATCAGTACAAAAACTGCCACGGGTCTGGCAATTTATAGAATTACACAGAAATTCTAAGAAAAACTTAATTCTCTGATTTGTTGGTACTTTCGGTGCAAGCCAAACCTGAGAGGGCATCTGACCCTGTAAAACCTTAAATGACAACTCTGCTCAGTCAAGGAGCCCCCCCCCAAGACAGACTTTTCACCAGTTAACTCCATTCACCTTCAAAAATATGTTCAGAATCCATCTTTAAGCTCACACATGTACAGCTGCACTTTATATTCCCTACTGTATTTACAGCATAAAGGATTTAAGGAATGCTGGCACGAAGATGTGTGTGTGGTCAAAGTTTGCCAAAAGGAAAAGCTTTTGCCCCCATCTGCTCCTGCTGCCGACAGCCACGCTGGTCCCCCATGTTGACTGGAAGACTTCAAAGTCCATGTTTGCCCAAATCTGCACACTTCAGGGGCAAAGGTGCTTGTCCAGGCATTGCCCCTCTCCGCAGCAGTCATGCAGCATCAGCAAAGAGTGGGGACGTGCTTTTGACAGTCATCGTTCCAGAAACAGCAGTTTGGGAGCACTTTAGGCATTTAGTTTAATAGTGCCTTCTGAATGCAGGCAATAGACAAAGTCAAGACTACCTTCCAGCAAGGCAGGCAGTAGTTGCTCTAGGGTTATAACTATTGCTTTGGCAGAAATGCGTTTGTATATTTTTATAAACAAGGGAATGACCTGAAGCAAAGCACAATGTAAACTTACTATGATCCTAAAATTTCCCCTGTTAAAGCGTAAAAGTCCTCAGTTAAACCTGGGGAGCAACCACTGTTTGATAGTGTGACGTAACATTTAACAAAGGTATGTGTTTCCTTAGTGAATTATAATGAGATACTGCGTTACTCACCAAAATTAACATTATGCTAGGGGTAGTGGTAGCCTAGGAGTGGAGGAAATAAACCCAAAGAATTAAAATAAATTAAGTTCTTTGGAACAGTTAACAATTTCTGTGGGGGGGAAAAAATGACCCTACCTGTTTTTACTGGAAAATAACAAAAGCATTAAAAAAATCAGATTCCCCAAGCAAAGGTGTTCGAAAGCTCAGCTCTAATCATCACTAAGGTATTCCCATTCTGCCAGTTATGTCTGATGACATATTGACAAATCCTCCCGTTTGACCACGTGTAAATAACACTATTCCTGTGCATGCAGGATTGCTTGCTTGCTCTCCGCGGATGGGAGGATGCAGCGCTGTGAGCCCCAGGCAGGTAGAGACCCCTCGCAGGACGTGAGGAGGGGGGTGGGTGTTGGTGCCTTAGAATGGCGTTAGGTCTAAAGGGGATCTCAAGGATCTGCACACCATCAGCACATACCACACAAGGCCTGTGGAAGACCCGAAGAGAAAGCTGGAGGGCAGACTGGATAACCTTGGTTGTCTCACATGAAAATCAATGCCTGTTAAGCACCTGAATCACTTCTCCCATGGTGAGGTGAGGTCTGGCCAAAATTTACTACAGGTCTGAGACTTCCCAAGGATCCCTGTTCACAAACATAATACTAATAATACAAGTGGGTTTTTTTTCCAGAGCAGCACCAGGGGAAGGAGATTAAGGCTATGTACCCCTGCTATTTGTCTGGGAGGAACTCGATTTTATTAGATTAATAGAATGGAAATGCAACGTATTTCTCACTTCGCACTCCAGAGTCACTAGTATCCCTTGCACACAAAACACCAGTCTCAAAAGTCCCTTGGGCAAAAGGGAGTAATTCCTTGTGGCCTCGACAGATGTTGAAACAAACTTTTCTATATCAGCTACTAAACTCCACAGCCAACATCGCAGTGCTTTTACAATAATCGAAAATGCAAAGCCCTCTAAAGTACCAGGGAGTAAGACGTAGAGCATTAAGTATTTCTCTTTATCCCACATTGCATACACTAACGAATCCAAATACTTATTAGATGAGTACCTTAAAAAGTTCACAAAAAAAGCAGCAAATAACTGGCAGCCTTAAAGTTTTTGAGGATAAAATAATGAAATTTACGAAGATAAAACGCAAGAAAAAAATATATCAAAAAAGTCATGTTTTGTAAATGTAATTTTAAAGATAAATTCAGTAATTATCTATAGAGCAACACATTGATTTATTTGTGCACAGGTTGTTAGTGGAAAAATACAATCTTTTTGTTTAAATCTCAAAATGGTGCAGTAAACCTTAGCTGCTCATGAAATTCAATTGATATAATGGACTGGCGATTAATGATCACTAATATGTACAATTCTAAATGCTGTACATAGACCGACGTGAACAGTTGGCTGAATGAGAATTATCTCAGGAAGCTGAATAACGATTTGGCTTTTGTATTACTTTCCAATATGATTCAACTCAGGTAGGAGCCAAGGGGAGAGAAGAAAGCAAACTGTGGAGGGACAAACTGCAGGACGTAGAACACGGCAAAAAATTAACACCATGGCTTCTGCTTTTAGTGTATTAACATCACCTAAGGAAAAATACCACAATATTAATCATAGCCTAGCACCTCCAGACTGTCAAAGCCATAGATCGCTGAAACAGCTGTCTACACAAAGCTGAAGGAAGTGGAACAATGATATCTAGATCACATACTTGTGATGTACAGTGATCTGACTTTATTATCTTCAAGTGTGTGTGAAGGGGAAACATGATCTATTCAGTGCCAGTGCAGCAGAATAAAATCACCACAGGTAAAGCCAGAATCAAACTCACCGATGCTAGCGAGATGTCTGTGGAGTCCACCTTGAGTAATTCTGATAAAAGTTAATGTAATGAATGCTACCTAGTACAAACATGCCGCAGTATAAATGCATTGTAACAATAAAGATGGTCTGAAGACACCTGCTTTTTGCCAGATGCTGAATGTTTGTGCGGTTTATGGTTCTGCTTTTACCTTTGTCAGTAATAACTGCTTCATAACCTTCGTAAAAGGTTAACACCGAGTTGAAACTTTGGCAGCATTTAATTTCAGCTGTTTGAATTCTCTTCACCCATTTTGATCAGACAATTGGTTGCACTGAATCACGCAAAAGCTCAATTAACAAACCAAACAAAAGCTCAATTACCCAAACAAACATATCAGAAAATCAGCAACGACGTCTTTTAAGTTTGTAAAAACAGCTCTTCATGAAGGAAAAGAAGGCCAGTAAATAGGCTTGAAATAAACCAAAATAGGCAGTCAAGCTACCTGTGGTTTCCTTCCCATGGAAAGAAAACCAAAACCCCTGCTCCTAATAAACTCAAAGGGTGTTTCTGGGAAGATAACCCTTCCCTGATAAGAATTTTACTCTAAATCCAAGTTCAAGCAGACCCCTTTAGACTATTTGAGTAAACCTTAGCAGATAGAAGACTGCCATGGAGCAGTCAGCTCAGCATCAGTGTGATGCAGGGGAGACATTTTGGTTTTGGTGGGTTTTTTTGTTGGTTTTTTTTTTTTTTTCAACACCATTATCACACCTTTTTTAGTGCTAGGAATGATGAAGGGTTTTATTTAAGCAACAGTCAGTCCACCCACTCCTTAAAAATATATATATATATGTATGTATGAATATATCACATCCTGACTGTTCATGCTTCTCCCTGAAATATCTCCTCTTTTCCTTGAGTACAAGCTTAAGAAACACTGGCAGAGCTGATGACTCAATACAGATAAATGCAGCTTATGCAGCTCTAGTTGCAGTTTTTTAAAGTTTGAAAATTTAACATAGTTCAGCTTGGTATTTGACCAGGTGAAATAACATACCTTCAGTTTACCAAAAAAATAAATGTGCCCACTGTTTCTCACCTCTTCCCTATTGCTAAAATTATTTTCCTTATTAATTTATCAATAAAATTTATTCTTCTGCAATGCTTACTGTTCTGAGAGCTGTGGTACATTGTAATTTGGTTTTAGGGGTGGTAAAACCATAGTTTTACCACAGTAGGGGAGTTCTTAGCATAAACATAAGATTTTTGTCCAGTGATTTACATAAAACCGATGCCGGTGAGAATCTGAAAGATAGGCTGCAAGATTTTCATGACAGGTTTGGAGTAGATTACAAAATCCATGAACCAGAAAAAGTATTAAAGTGCTTGAAATATTGATTCACCTCAGTGGGAACCTATAAGGATCTGTGCTGGGTATGAACAAAAGTTTATCTGGCCTTACCTCCAACAAGGGCCAACTAAAGCTGGCCAGATGTGATACTTCTCACATCAGTTCTCACATTTACAACGCAGGAGCTTTCTGAAACAGATAGTTTCTTTTCATTTCGTCTTCAGGGGACTCCTCTTTCACAGAATCACCTTGAACTAATTTTGGTGACCTTTGATAATTCAGAGTATCCAGTGGAACTCCACAGGAAGAGCGTAAGATTCACGTAATAAAATTCCAGATTGCTCAGCTGAAACAGCTGTCAGCCTTGCTTTTGTTCTTCGGTTTCCTTATAGCAGAAGCAAGAACAAGAAATAGAAGGAAACAACCCAAAACATTTCCAAACAGCTGTGCTTTCACTTACAGTAGTTTTAAATCTGTAACAAAGCAAACCCACACAACTGTGTATTTCTGAAAT